CTCGGCGGGAGCGCCACCACACTTCCCAAGTGGCGCACTGTAGCAGTGCGCCACCGGGCCGGCCCAATAAGCAATATTAATAACTCCCATAAATTGAGCACCATCCCTGTGTCAGGTACTATTCTAAATGCTCTTTGTTTGTTTGTTTAACACATCTAATTAAAATCAATCTAAATATACCTAGTGTTTGCCTACCATGTGCCCAGTGCGGGGTTGAATGTGGGGGATACAGTGGTGAATTGAATGGATGTAGCCTCCACTGTCATGGAGTCTATAGCCTGAACTTCAGTGCTTTCCCCCTCTTAGTGCTGCTCAGACCCCTCCTGATTCATGCTAGCCTGAAACCCGTGATTGTAAATAATTAGTGAAAGACTTACAGTTTTACCAGCTGCTGTGAAGGAGAAATACCAAATATTGGGAGTCAGGAGAGACTTCTTGGATAAAATGAAAATTAAGTTAGGACATGAAGGATGAGTTAGAAGTTATTCAGATGAAGGGTGGAGAGAGTGTTCTATGCAAAGGCAGCAGTCAGGGCAGAGGCCCAGATGGAAGGAACGAAACATGGGGTATTTGAAGAACAGAGTTAGAAGGGCTGGAGCAGAGGGGGACACTGGGAAACACCCAGCTTAGGTGTTTCTATTAAACTCCTCCAGTGTGTTGCAAAGCTCTTTATCATGCTGTTTATTAACTGCATCTATCAACTGATGTTAATTATGTAATTTGTTATTCATCTGTTATTGGTCTAAAATCTGTGTTTTCCGCTGTGCTGAGATCCTGGAGTACAGGGGCCCTTGCAGGTCCTGTTTCATCACCTAGTGCTGCCCTAAACTCTTCCCTATGTGCCTGTTTTATCTTTAGTAACATCCTGCTTTTCTAACAGGCCCATCTATCCGTGCATACAATGCAGTTTCCTTACAAGGTCAAGTTTGTAGTATTTCATTTATTTACTCATTCGTCTATTCGATGAACATTTCTGTGTATCAAGCAATTCAGGAAAATGTAAGAGGTTTCATGGGCTTATGCTTGTTTTGTACTTAAGGTTAAGGTATAACTGAGACCAAAAATCTAATCTACAAAGCAGTATATTGTGACTGGCAAACACTTAAATTTTAAGTTACTGGGTAATGATTTTTCCTTCCTTTCTCTGGGTTATGACTGTATTTCAAAATCTGCTTTTGTTTTTCTCTACTCAGCCCATCTGCCAGGCAGCCTATCAGAATGACTTTGGTCAAGTGTGGCGGTGGGCAAAAGAAGACAACAACTATGTCAATGTTCAAGATGGCTTTAACGGAGACACTCCCCTGATCTGTGCCTGCAGGCGAGGACATGTGAGAATCGTTTCCTTCCTTTTAAGAAGAAATGCTGATGTCAACCTCAAAAACCAGGTGAGGTCTACAGCCGTTCCACTCTGACCGTGTCTGACCTCATCTGATCTCAGAAGCTAATCATGTTTGGGCCTGGTAGTACTAAGATGGGAGACCACCTGGGAATACCAGGTGCTGTAGGCTAGTGAAAATAAAGAAA